TATACATATACATATACATATACATATACATATACATATACATATACATATACATATATATATAATGTTGGGTTGATGTCACAAGAAGCCTTTTGCTTATCTTTGGAACCAGCCATCAGGATGTCATTGATACTATTTATTTTATTATTTTGTTTTTGAGACTGTTTCCACATAATGCTGGCTGACCTGTAACTTGCTACATAGACCAGGCTAACCTTGAACTCACAGAGATCCTCCTGCCCAAGCCTCCGGAGTTCTGGGATTAAAGGACTATGCCAGCATGCCCATGCCCAGGGATCCTACTATTTTTTGTTTGTTTTAAGATTTATTATATTCACAGTGTTCTGTCTACATGTATGCCTGTATGCGGGAAGAGGACACTAGATCTAATTATGTGCAGTTTTGAGCCACCATGTGGTTGCTGGGAATTGAACTCAGGGTTTCTGGAAAAGCAGCCAGTGCTCTCAACCTCTGGGCCGTCTCTTCAGCCTCCTACTATTTTAAATATGAAGAAAGTTAACTTTTGGTCAAAGACACCAAGTTCTGAAGACTCTGGGAAGAAGCAGAAGCAGTCTCCACAATGACATCCAGACCACTGTTGGTACAGCTCTATGCTGCCCCCTTGTTGTCTGTGTCTCATTGTACACATTGTGTGAGCAAGACCATTAGGGCCCAACTTGAACCAGTTTAGTCTCTGTGAAAAATAAGGGAACTTTTTCAGTGTCTGTACCAGAAAAAATGAGAAAACTCCCTGAGAGGAAAATGCCACGGGAAGAGTGTGATCTGTGAACAATAGTGAATCTGGGGTGCTGTGTGATGTTGAATAAGCTTTTCTCACTCTTCCTGTCTCAGGCTGTTGGGCTGTACCACCCCCTAGGTGCTGCTGCACTTTGGCCACAACCTCTCTGGGAGGAGATGTGGTCCTGAGTCTTCTATCCTCATTCTGATTCAGGCTGTGTTAGTGTAAAGTTAAGCTCCTAGCTCAGGCAGGTCGATCGTGGACAGAAACACAGGGTGTGGGAAATTCGAGGGGATCAAGATAGTGCTGTTTTGTTCAGAGCCTATTATGTGCCATTGTGGTGGGACAAGTCATGATGTGTTCCCTAGCTGAACAGACCTGGGTCACCATCCTATCTTTGAATTTATTAATAAATATCCTCTCATTTGAAATGCATTGGTCTGAAAGTGAGTTAAACTAAACACTTTGGAGAGGGAAGAAAAATGCTCCGGCCTTAATGAGCGTTAATGGAGAGATAGGGCAAATCAAAGAAACACATTAAAAATTCAGATCTAAAACTAACTTTATATTGAATTATATAAATTTATTTGAATTATATAAACATATAAGCAATATTATTGGTGTAACAGTATAATGTACATTTTTAAATTACATGTTATACTTCATTTTTTATTGGTTATTTTATTTATTTACATTTCAAATATTGTCTCCCTTCCCAGTCTCTCCACTGCAAACTCCCTATCCCATTCCCCCTTCCCTTTGCCTCTTAGAGGGTGCTCACCCACCTACCCACTCTGGCTTCACCCCTCTAGAATCCCCCTACACTGGGGCAGTAAGCCTCCACAGGACCAAAGGCCTACCTTCCATTGATGCCAGATAAGACAATACTCTGCTACATATGTAGCTGGAGTCATAGACCCATCCATGTATATTCTTTGGTTGGTGGTTCGTCCCTAGAAGCTCTGGGGGTCAGGTTAGTTGATATTGCTCTTCTTCAGATGGGGTTGCAATCCCCTTGAGCTCCTTTAGTCCTTCTTTTAACTCTTGCATTGGGGTCTGCTGGCTCAATCTTATGATTGGCTGTGAGTATCTGCATGTGTTTTAGTCAGTTGCTGGCAGAGCCTCTCAGAGGACAGCCATACTAGGCTCCTGTCTTGGAGCAATTCTTGGTATCAGCAGTAGTTTCTGGTCTTGGTGTAAGCAGGTGGGATGGATTCGAAGGTAGGGCGGCTACATTTTGTAGTTCCTGTGATGGATGAGCCTGACCCACTCATAAAGTTTTGTGGTTTTCCCCCAGGCACTGTTATCAAAGTTTACACCCTGGAGATTTCAGTCCGGATGGGTGTGGCAGGGCTCGTTCTTCTGATTCTGCTGGTAATATTGACTGAGGCCTGTTGTAACCATGAGGAGCACCACAGGTTGAAATGCCAAAACACAGTGAACAGATAATCTGGAAGAATTGACCTTGGAGAAAACTCCATCTTCAGAGATACCTCCTGATGGATGTAGAATATATTCAGGGTTTAGGTCTTTTATTTGGGTGGGGGGGGGCTACTTGGAAAAACAGCTGAACCTCAGTAGGCAAAGAACATATCACAGATACTAGGAGCTCCTTATGTGCATTGAAACCTTAAATAAATTCACAGATAGCATATGAGCTGTCTTCAATTTTTTTTGGTTGTATATTTTCACTTTCTTTCAACATTTTACTTTAGCAGTATGCCTCATCTGAGTCTGTTTTTGTTGATTTTGTAGCCATATTTGTGTACCTTTGGTCTCCAACTCCTTCATGTCCTTTCCCTCTTACTCTCCTGGTCCCTACTATTACATTATTTTCCCTTCTCCCTCTTATTCTCATCTCATTTATGTTTCACCAATACCCTGTAATTTTCACTTTTCTCTTCACTGATTCTTGGGTTCTCATATTTTTAAAAAACAGATTTCACTGTATAGTTCTGACTGTCCTGGAACTCAGAGAGACCCCATTGTCTCTGTCTGTCAGGTGCTGGAGTAAAGGCATATACCATTATGCCTAGTGGCACTGCTTTTTTATAAGCATGGATACAAGTGCTTAAAATAAGTCAACATCTTTTATTTTTCCTTCAGCATCATTTGTATTTATTATGAATAAAATCACGAATTGGAAGTCTTCCAAACAAATTATAAAATACCATTTCTTTGTTTGAGTAAGCCAATCAAAATGCAAGTCTTTTAATGTAAAGTTTTGTATGTAGAATAATTTTTGGAAAGTATTGTAATTATTATTTCAATTGTTTTCTCAATAACTTGTTTAACTATTTTTATTTATTAACATAGTTTTGTTTCTAGGTGATGATTAAAGTGGTCAGTTTGCAATTTGTCTCATCACTTATGAAAATATTACATGTTCATAATACCCCAATTACATTATGCTTTTGTTTTGTTTAGTTTGGTTTAGTTTGGTTTTTTCATTGTTATTAATTAAATATTTATTTACATCCCAAATGCTGTCCTTTCCTGGTCCCCCATCATAGAGTTTTCCCCCATTGTCACACCCTTTGTCTTGGAGAGGGTGGCCCCAATATCCTTCTACCCTGGGGCATCATGTTTCTACAGGATTAGGCACATCTTTCACTGAGGTTGACTATATTTGCTATATACGTGCCAGGGGCCTTGGACCAGCCCATGTATGCTTTTTTTGTTGGTGCTTCAGTCTGTGAGAGCTCCCAGGGGGTCAGGTTAGTTGACACTGTTGATCTCCCTGTGGGGTTGCCATCTGTAGGACCATGATAGGATAGCTGGTTTTGGTTGAAGTGCTGGCTGGAAATAGCCCGGAGTACCAACAGGTATCCATTGCCTGTGAGGGACAGTCATCTATTCCACCGTGCTCCCAGAATCCAGGCTCCTGACAAGTGGCGTGATCTCCATTTGATCTGCACCCTGTAGTCACCTTTGGCTAGAGAGGGCATGACTAACAGGCTTCAGCCTTGAGAGTTTTCCATATTCATGAGTTACCTAAAGGCCAGGGGGCTTAGCTAAATTAGGTTATTCCTTCCCAGTCCCTCCTCTTCCCCCCCCTCTCTATTTAAGCCAGCTCCCCATGGCTTAAACCTGGGGGTGCACACCTAGACCATCTACACACACCATAAACAATAAAATTCTTGGAACTCCAGACTTTCTCTAGTTATTGGGACTATTATTAGTTATTAGTTATTATTAGTTACTAGTTATTAGTTATTTCTCCAATTATTTCTCTAGTTATTACTGCCGGCATGAAAAGCCCCCTCCCTCAGTTTCTGCCATGCAGTTTCCCACATCTGGCAACCAATGTGAGCTCGAACAGTGCCACGACTACAAGAACTGCCCACTTCTTCAAGCAAGCTAGTATGCTACCCTCCCCACGGGGCGTGGCAAGGGCCTCTCTCTCTTCTCATCTGAGACCTTCCAAAACACAGCCAATCTTGGCACGCAGGCCTGTCGCTTCACACAGCACAGAGCTGTGTGCACCCAATGGTATCCGTTCTGTCGAGCTCCCCTCCCCCCACTGTGGTGTCTGGGGCCACAAATGGAGATCCCCACCGGAGAGCCCTGCTCCCACCCCCTTGGAACCCCAGGCTGAGTTTGCTCCCCGCCCGGGCACGATCCCAACAGTGTCCACCCAGCACAGCATGAGACAAACACAGCCGAGCTTTCCACGAGTGCTCCTCTGAGGCATCCGCCCCAGACAGAAGATGCAAGGACTAACAGTGCAATAGGCAACTCCATGCCCGTGAGCGCCTGAGGCGTGGGGGCCATCATCATCATTTCCCACAGGTGGTAGAGGAAGCTTACAAAGCCAGCTCCAAGATCACCCCCTTCGGAGCCTGCAAGAACCTCTCCATGAGACAGTGAGTAACCCCCAGCCTGGTTCAAAAAACTTAGGCCTCTCCCTGTCTTTCTCTCTTTCTCTTTCTCTCTCTCTCTCTCTCTGTCTCTCTCTCTCTCTCTCCATGTGTTACCCAGCTCAAGGAGAAGATGGTGGCTGCTCCCTAGCCCCCCACCTTGCCCATTCCCCAGCTCCACAGAGAGGGCTCCTTCACAGCTGACAGCTGTCTTTCAAGCCACAGTGTCTGCCATGACCTTCGTGCTAAGATTCTTTCCCTTGGGTGAAGGACTCCTTCTTCCGGCTGAGACTGTCTTCTCTCTCTCAAGAGCGGTGACTCCAAACTCTAGTCCCCAGCGCCCTTCCCCCAGGGGTCAGTCTTTTGCCAGCATAGGCTTCCCCTCCTCTTCCGGCATTTGTGGCAGGGTACAGCCCAGCTGGCTTGCCTGAAATAGCAGATCTAGAACCCTGCTTCCTACCATCGCCCCTGTGTCCCTTATACTCTCATTCTAAGACTTCTTCCCTTGGGTAAAAATTTTCTTTTTCGTTTTGAGACAGTTTTCTTTCTCACAGGTGATACCTCCAGCTTGAAGCAGGACTACAGGCTTCAGCCTTGAGAGGTTTCGATATTCATGAGTTACCTAAAGGCCACAGAGTGTAGCTAAATTAAGTTATTCCTTCCCAGTCTCTCCTTGTTTCCCCCTCCCTATTCAAGCCAGCTCCCCCTGGCTTAAACTGGGGGTGGGGGGAATACAAACCTAGACCATACATGTGCCTAAGAGTTTCATGAATTCGTTGTTTTTAATAGCTGAGTAGTACTCCATTGTCTAAATGTACCACATTTTCTGTATCCATTCCTTTGTTGAAGGACATCTGGGTTCTTTCCAGCTTCTGGCTATTATAAATAAGGCTACTATGATGAACATAGAGGAGTATGTGTCCTTGTTATATGTTGGCAAATCTTCAGGGTATATTCCCAGGAGTGGTATAGCTTGGTCCTCAGGTAATGCTATGTCTAATTTTCTGAGGAACCACTAGATTGATTTCCAGAGTGGTTTTATCAGCTTGCGATTCCATCAATAATGGAGGAGTGTTCCTCTTTCTCCACATCCTTGCCAGAATCTGATGTCACCTGAGTTTTTGATCTTAGCCATTCTTAATGGTGTGAGGTGGAATCTCAGGGTTGTTTTGATTTGCATTTCCCTGACGACTAAGGATATTGAACATTTCTTTTTTTTTTTTCTTTTTTTTTTTGAACATGAAATGCTTTTTTATAGCATGTTTTACAAGGGGAGGGGGTAAGAGGGTCCAGGTGGTGGAAAAGTACAAAATCTTCTTGGCCTGTGCCTTGAAACATGTCATGGTCTATATGGTACACTGCCTTGAATTATGATCTACCTGCAGTTCTTCAGAAGATATGGTACACTGCTTGAGTTATGGTCTCCCTGCTATTCTTAAGAAGACATGGTACTCTGCTTTGAGTCTATCTGCAGTTGCTAAGCAGGATCTTGCAGTTGCCAAGCTTCAGAGGACATTGTGCAGGTGGGGAAAGGTAGGGGGTAAGGGTAAGGGCGAGGGTCCTGGCTTCTGGCATCTCCCCCTTCTCTGTTTAGTTAGAGAAGGCGTCTTATGTTCAATCCCAACTATGTGAGTTTTGAATTTGGATGTCTAATTATGGGGGGTCTTAGACAAGTTCACAACCCCAAAACACTGATGTGAGACGAGTCACATCGATGGTCGAAGGCTTTAGGCTGTTGATGATGGGCAACGTCAAGGGACTCTGATGTGGGTGAAAGGAGGGTGAGAGCCCTGTCTTAGGCCATGTAGGCTGCACCCACTCCCAGCACCACGCACTCCTTTTCGGCTGCATTGGGTGGGCCCCTGGGAAGTGGACCTACAATAATCCCGTCATTGGGCTAACTCACAGCCATCCTAGTCTCTTGTATATGTTCAAGTTACCAACCATTTGTCAGTTTGGGGTGTAATATTGTCATAAAGGAAGGCTCCCCAATGTTAGCGGCCATATCAAGGGTGGCCTTGGTTTAGGAAAAAGCCAATTTTTGTTGTGGTGATCAAGAGGCCAAGCTCTCTAGCGAGAGAAATGAGGGCAAAGCCAGGCATACCAGGAACCCTTCTGGAGGGCGTGGAAGTCTAGGGGTCGACCGTAGGGGGAGGCAGGGGAGCTGACAACTGTGTCAGTCTCCTGCGGAGTCACTTCTGGATCCTCTGCAATTTTCAGCTGATGGTAATGAACTTCAACTGCCTTCTTGATGGCAGCATCAACCTGCTTCCGTGGACGACAGGTCACGGGCGATGATCTCTGTCTTGCTCAATCTTGATGTCGTGCGCACATCCTCTCAATGAGGGTCCGTCCGGATGGGTCCGTGCCTCGAGCCCCACGTCTGGGTGCCACTTGACCCGACCGGCGGGTCCTGGTTATTCGTGGGGGCGAGGAGGACTGCAACCTGCTATTCTTCAGAAGATATGGTACACTGCTTGAGTTATGGTCTCCCTGCTATTCTTCAGATGATATGGTACACTGCTTTGAGTCTATCTGCAGTTGCCAAGCAGGATCTTGCAGTTGCCCAGCTTCAGGGGACCTTGTGCAGGTGGGAAAAGGTAGGGGGTGAGGGTAAGGGCGAGGCTCCTGGCTTCTGGTCCATCTGGGTTAGAACTTCTAATAGCAGGCATCACGGGTGATTCAATTTTACCTGGAAAGAAAAAAGAAGGGGATTCTCAGGGAGATTTCTCTTCCCTGGATGTAAATTGTTATTCATCATATTTATGATTGGGCCTGGCTTTGTGAGGGTATCTAT